CAGGGTGCTTGAATGCTCTGGGCGTTTGAGAAACGTGGCTGTCAAATGAGAAATCCCTTGCATGCTGTTTTTGGAACAGCAGCAGTTCAGCTCCATTTAACCAGTTTTTTGTGTTGAGTGGTTTGTAGAGAGGTATACTGGTGGAAGGATCTGTGCAGATCCTTGATTGGTTTTCATGTCTGTTGCTGTACAGGGAAGCATTCTGAACAGTCTCTTCTCCCTCCTTCCCTTTTTTCTCTCTTTCTAACGAGTCTGTAGCACTGGAAAGTCAGGGGTAGTTTATTGTTGAGACAGAAAAGTAGATGCATTCTTATGCACTGAGACTTCCACTTTAGGTACCAACTGTGTAATGTTGGATGATTTTTAAGCTCAGTGGATTCTTTGTTGATATTTAGTTAATCTAGCTCAGTGGTCACTGTGCTCATTTTTCCTCAACTGCTAGATTTTTTCAGGATGAGAACACTGCAACCCACAAAGCCTCAGCTCCATTAACGGCGCTGAATATCAGAGTGCTGTCTTGCTAGCTTCTCCTCTGATGACCCCTCATTAACCTTGCCTAAAAGGCTCTGCAAGCCTTTTATTCTCATATGCTGCAGAAATGCACACAGAAGAACATTTGTCTCTTTCGTATTCTACTTCTTCCTCTGAATAATAGGCTGGGAGCAGCAGTGTCTTCCCCTCAAATTTACAGACATTTGGAAAGCTTGATAAAACGCTGCTTGATGTAACCTCAGCACAGATAGATAATTTACCTTGATTGTGATTCAGGCTATCTATAATTCAACAGCACTTTGAAGTCTGTCATGGCTGTACATTTTCAGGTCACACCACTTGAAGACAGTTCTTTGCTGCTAATTTTTCTAGTGCATCTCTTTGGATAAAAGCTACGTGCTCTAGTCTAGCTTAAAAAAATAAAACACCCAAAACAGCAACCCACTGACCGTCTGCAATGTAGCTACATAGAATTTTTGGATCTAGTGGTAGGATATGCAGTAAAACCTGTCTGTAGTATGTAAAGTGTCCAGCCTTTCTGTTTCCTCTGTATTGATTAACTTCCTAATATTGTGTAAGAGAAAACAGCTCTAAATTGTGTAGCAGCTGGTACTGAGTTTTTTTAAAAAAAACAAACCAAACAAAAAAAACCAAAACAGTTTAAAGTTGACCCCCATCACCTGTGAATCTACTTTATTTGTAGAAGATGGAGGCCCTGGGAAGTTTCTGGCTCAGGTTTGTCCTGTTGTGCATAAAGGTTTCCTGGTACTTTTGGTTATGTTAATTGCACCTGATGTTAAGAAACAGAAAATCACCTTTGGGGCTGTGTAGCATAAGTTAGCAGACCTAGTTCCTTCTGTGTAGAGTACTTCTCTTGATACCCCCTTGCTTGGTATTCTGTAGCATGTGTTTGAGGGTGAAGTGCAGTGTGTCTCTCCTGCCTGACTGTGTCCATTTAATGCCAGCTGAGTTGCCCTAGGATGTAGCTCAGGTCACTTGGTGTCCGGTAGTGAAGACGGATAGTGGAGGCGAGACCCTTAGTTGTGCTTGGTCTGAACGAAGGGCAGACCTGCTTCAGGTGCTTGAGCCGGGCTCTGCAACCATTTACTTGCTCAGGAAAACTGTGGACAGCTAGAAGGGAAAATGTATGAGAAGTTACTCGGAGTCAATGGGTATGTGACCAATCCAGTTGAAATTTAAGATTGATTTAGGTGCCAGGAATGTATTTCCTTTCCTCATTAAGGATGCTGAATAGATACTAAGCCTTGTCTGAAAAAAAAAAATCAAAGGAGTACAGGCATTTTTTGGTGATGAGCTTTGCTTTTTGTGGCTTGGTGCAATAGTTAATCTTGGGGGTGGGGGGTGGTTTTGGGTTTGGGTTGTGTGGGGTTTTTTTGGTGGGTTTTTTTTTTAACACTTATAAAAGGTACCTAGGTATGGGGAAAGAAAGAGGGTAGTAACGATTCTGTTCAACTTGTGCCTCTGTATCTGTAAATGAGGTACATCAGTGGTGAAAGAGTAAGCCTGTACCTGGCTTATCACCAGTGACAGAGATCCCTGTTTTACATTGAATAATGTAAACACATCCGATAGCTCTTTCCTGACCAGAAGACATCATAGGGGAAGTGCACGGATAAATGGAAACAGCCAAGAAAAGCTTATTGAATCGTTCTGAGCTGAACAATTGTTTCACTTGCTGCCTGTCTCTGTTCAGGCCCCTGGCACTGCAGAACCGCGGGTCACGTGCTGGGAAGCCTTGCTGTTTGTCCTGGCTTGTCAAAACAATTTAATGTAGGTGGAAAGGAATGAATGAAATGAACGGAGTGGGCTTGATGCATCTGTTTCAGTTTGTTCGAAGGGCAGCCCAGTGATTGGGATGTGACACTTAAGTCCTCTGGGGAAGCTATCAGTTCTGGAAGAACAATGCTGGCCATTTTATAGGATAGCTAAATCCATTTTAAGAAGCAAGCTTTCCTACAGTTTAACAGCTTTGTATATTTTTAAATATTTGGGCTATATCTGCTCAGCATGTGCTAACCAAGAGACAAGAATGAGATTTGCTGACTTCCAGACTTAAGACTTTGTCTGCCTAAGGTTGCTTCATTGTGGTAAAAAAAGACTGGGGAGGAGGGAAGGTGCCCTTTTTTTACATTTCACTGGTAGGAATTCCAAAACCAATTTGTCTTGGAACAATAGGATAACAAGCCATATATTAACTACTATTCTTAAAGTGATGCCAATGGAAAAGCATCTTATGTGTCTATTTTGTTTAGTTTCTGGCTGTTTGATTTTAAAATAATCAAAGAAAACATTCAATTTGGTTAACCAATCTTACACTTTGATACTGGAATGTTAAGCTGCAAAACATCGATTTTTTGCTTCCAGATGGAAACAGCAAATACATGCTGAAATGATCCATCCATGTACATATTTAGACCGTAAGCTACATGGAGAAGGCTGCAGGGAATAGATCTGGTTATTTGATTCACCCTCGATATAATGGAGTGCTTGCTTTGAGTGATATGCCACAAACCTTTTGCTACCTTGTTAGAGCTGGAGATAGAGCTGAGGATCTTGCATTCTTGCAGACCTGCTCAGAGGTCACAGTGGAATCCCAGTACCATCGCAAGCAGCTGCCCTGTTGGAAAGACGCATTTGGGCTTTTGAGTCTCTGGGAGTATGCACTTACAAGCGAGGATTGTGAAAGCTGCCCTCTTCCCAAACTCTTGAAAAATGATCTTTTAAATTCTCATTAAATGGTGATGGCTTCCTTCTCTGTGCTACGCCTCTGCTGTACAGCAGGTTTGTGTTTGGATTTTGTGTGATTCCAAGATGTTCTCATTCCCCTGCCTTTCCTCAGCTATTCATACCTGATGTGGCTCGCAGCACCATTTCTGTTCCCAAATTGCATGTGGTGCTCTTATTTTCTTGCTTATCTCAAATTCTTAGTAGCTGCAGCTGCTTGAATTGCTTCTTTGTACAAGAAAGAGCATGAAGTTGTCACATTTACCCATGCTAACAGCTCAGTGGATGCCAAACTGTAGTATTTTGGATGGGCTTTGTTCTAGACCATCCTTATGCAGTGTGGGAAAACTGTCTAATATGCTGTGAAGTTTGGGTGTATGGAATACTCAGGTTTTGAAAGTGTACTCGTAATGTTTAAATGGCATGGTAACTTGTAGGCTATTTGCAGGGGCATGAGAATGTGGTTTGTACAAGTACAAGCAGTCACCGTGTATACAGATTTTTTTTTTTTTGGTATAAGTATATGTGAGACCTAATATTGAATGCTACGGTTGTTTTTTGAGGTATATTCACCCCTTTTCTGTTACCTAGCATTAGTGTTCCTCTAAGGAAAGAAATGTAAATAGCTGTTACCAGTGAGTCTGTGGGTTGTGTGTCTAAGGAAATGATAGTGGTTAAAGGTAGTGTCACAGGTCTTGTGAAACAAGTGGCCTCTCTCTTTTCGGTACAGCTCTGTTTAATGTTCACGTTTGCAGCTGCAGCATGCTACTGAAGGGTGTGATGTTTCCTTGGTTGCAAAAACATGGCCATCTTCACTGGGAAATTTATTAGCCTGTGTTGTGTCCAAACTTGTCCCAGATCATTAGGGCATTGTGACTTTCAAAGAAGCGTTGATTTACTTAGTATGTTGTCAGTGTCCTGGTGTTTTTATTTTCTTTTAATACCAGCACTGAAGTGTTGGAGTGTCTGTTTTAAATGTCGCAGATATGTTTGCAGGAACATGATGCTACCACTGGTGCGAGCAGAGAGAGAAAGGAGTTAAAATATGCATGCCCGTTGAGTCTGTTCATTGATAAGAGTGATTAGCACTTGTTTCTATTTGGGGCTGGGAGTACAGTGGTAGGGAGAACTGCGTAAGGCCCTTAAGGGAGGTCAGGTTTACATAGATGATGGTGAGAACTTTGTGAAGTGTAGTCTAAACCTGGTTAGTGGTGTTTGCGACAAAGAACTTTAAAATGCACAAAATAAAGGAAATTTAATCCAATGCACATCTAAAATCTAGGTTTCGGATGAAGATGCATGCAAGTGTTCATATTAAGTAGCTAAACCTAAATGATTATAAAAGTAGTTGTTGCAGCCTTACTTTTATAACCGCTATATATAATTATTGAGTTTACAACTATACACTAGTTTTAAAATGTGGGTTATATGGATCAAGTGCAGAGGCTGAGAAGACTGCTCTATTTTACCCAAGTCAGGTAATGACTGAATTAGAGCAGGAGAGGAGGAGGAAACTGGAAGAAAAAGAGTCTACAAACTCTCAATTTGTACCTCTGAGAATAATCAGATTGTAAGGAAAAATATATATGACTGTAGTAGGCTGCCTTCTAAATAGAGTATTTAAGGGTAATTACAAACAAGATGGCATGTAAGACTGCTGATGCTTACTTGTTCACTGGCTGTACCCAACTGTTTTTCAAGTTGTTGCTTCTGAGTAAGAAATCAAGCAAAGCTTTTTGACGTTACCTTTTCTTTTTCATTAGGATCGGAAGCTGTCCAAGTCGGAGCGACAAAGATTTAAAGAGGAAGCCGGGATGCTGAAAGGCCTTCAGCATCCCAATATTGTCAGGTTCTATGATTCCTGGGAGTCTACAGTCAAAGGAAAAAAGTGTATTGTTCTTGTGACGGAACTCATGACATCTGGGACATTGAAAACGTAAGTGACCTAAGGAATGTCGAAGCATATAAGGATCATTAGCACCAAATCGGAACACTGGAAGTAGACCATGTTTTAGAATAGATAAGAACAGAGCCCTTTTTGCTGTGGGCTAAACTTTTGTGGGGAAATTCTTGTGTAAGAGGAGCCTCAGTAGCACTGCAGGGTATGGTAGTACATCGTTTAAGTTAGTAAACTGGTTGTGTTCTCCCTTGGGTTGTACTAGTAAGCACATGTGGAAAAACTCTAGGTTTTTGAGAGCTCAGGAAGATGGTGCTCTATTTTCACTTCTCAGAATTCTTTGTGTTCCTCTCCAGCTGCCTTCCATTTAGCATAAGCTGGTTGGTAAAGTCCAAAGCACAGATCAATTCACCTCTTTTAGGAGGTTTGGGCTGTTACTATAGTACAAATAATATGTAATAAGAAAAAAACCCCACCAACTATTTGTTTAGCTGAAACTTCATGAAGTAGTACCTAACAAGAATCTGAAAGCATACAGATGCCTGCAGTTTCAACCTCTGACTTAACTTGAGTAAAACTAAGTCTATTTTTAAGCCAGAGTTAAAGCAGACACCAGCAAACCAAACTGCTGCGAGGTCCCTCTAGTGGCCTGTGGAGTCTGCGGGGAGTTAGATTCGAGTCGTGCCTGTGCCTTGCAGTGTAGAAACTTGCAGAGCTGTGAACTTGTTGGTGGGCATCCAGTCATCATTAATCTGCTGGAAATAAAACTGCCAGCATTTGAAATTCAGGGACTGGGGGTCCTTGTCTTAATTCAGAACCCATTTAAGTCTTGGAGAGGCATTCAAATCCTAAATGTGTAAGCAGGCTGTAGGAGCTGGAAACAATTTGTAATCTATTTGGTTAAAATAGCCTGTGAGCGTCTTGTGTTTTTACGATGCTTATTGATAGCCACAAATGGACATACTTAAGGAAAAAATGGCTCTTTGGGAGTCTAGACTGCAATTACAGGCAAGTGTTTGTCTCTTGAAATAGTACTGGAGGGCTGAAGATACTGCAGCTTTCTTTTTATTTTAAAATAATAGATCTGGTGCTCCATGTGCTGTTTTCGGAGCAGTAATAGAGTACAAGTTTTATGGCTTTGTACAGATGCCTTTTATTTCAAGTTACCTAATTTTATGCTAGAATATGTAGTGTCAGATTTAACTTTTTTTTCCTTTCTTACTCCTTTCTCCCCACACAGCTTTTAATATTTGGGTTGGCATGTTATGTGGTGGCATAAGCAAGATGATAAAGTAATGGTAGACCATTAAAGTAGGGTGTTGGTAGGAAGAAACACCTCAGACTTGCTGGCTATAGGATTATTTTGTATTTTGAGGGATGAAGGTCTTTTTTATTTTATCTGGAAAGAACTAATAGGCTCTTTAATTGAAGATCTTTTAAACTGTAGACTTCTGGGTGGACTTCCGCCTCCCCCCCCCCCCTGTTCTATAATTCGTGTTACAATTGTGATTTATTTTTTACAGTGATTTTTTTTGTTGTTGTTTTTCCTGTCTGTGTCACTTGAGACTTGACAGGTGAACTATTTGGGAAACTTCTATGTGCCACATTTAATATGATTAAGTACTTCATGTACCTGTGTCCTCTTTGTAGATTTACACTGCACACTCATGTTTGCTTGTGATACTTGACTATCACTTCCATATCTTTTTCAGTATGTTTGCATTACCTGCATTTAGTAAGTGATACCTTCCTTGTTTTGAGACTTGGGGCAGAGAGATTGTTGTCACTTGGTGTAAAAAAAAAAAAAAAAAGTAAGCAGAATTGTGGTCATATATTAATTAAAGAAAATTTTCCTTGTGGTTTTTTTTGTATTTGTGTACATTTAGATATAAATACACATAAATAATGTTAAAATATTGTGGACTCATTCTTTTCAAATGCTGTCTGTTTCTGACTTTTAATATTGCACGTAGAACAGTCCCTGAAATTCTGCATTCCACTGGAAAAGTTTTACAACTCAGTTGTTAAGAAACTGCTTTCTGTTATTGTATGCTATCATGGAATTAATGTTGGGGAGAAAAAAATGGAGTTGTCTGTTTCAGGTCTTGATTAAAAATGGCTGTCTTCATTAATACTATAATCTGACTTGGGTCTCAGCCACTAGTTTTGTCTAAGGTCGTTTTTGTGTGTGTGTGTTCCTGATCCACTTTAAGGAAACGTGGCAGCTATCTGATAGGACACATACCTTCATAAATACCTCTGTTAAGTTTGTAGGGTTTCCTCTAGCTTCTTGAGCTGAGGAGCTGTAAGTCAGCAGCCTTCCTGCTAAATAAAACCCAAACCCAACACTCAACAAGATACCCCACTAAAATAGCCTTGAGCCACAAAGCCAAACTCTAGTTTATTCATTGAAGCCAACTGTAAAGAAAGGCTCGTGTTCTCCTATTTGCTTGTATTCTGTGCACAGAGCAAGTGTCTATCTCTTTAAGAACTGAGTACTGGACTGTAAAATAGACAAGAAGGACAGTCACTGGGCAGGAACAAGTTCAGTGGCGGGCCACCGAGGTGGTCAGGTGCTGCAGTACCTGCTGTGTGAAGAGGGGCTGAGGGAACTGGACTTGGTCATTCTGGAGAAGAGGATCCACTGGGGGAGACCCAACAGCAGCCTTTCAGGGCACATGAGGGAGTCAGTCAGGCTCTTCACAGTGGTCAGGGTGGTGGGATTAGAGACAACAGGCAGAAATTGCAGCAAAAGGGCTTCAGACTGATAGGAGGAGCTGTTTCCGCAGTGGTAGGCAGTGGAACAGGTTGCCCCAAGATGCTGTGCGGGCTCTGTCCTCGGAGATAAGTAGAAACCTGTCTGGATACAGCCCAGAGGAACCATGTGTCTGACTTAATGGCTGGCCTTACCTTGAGCAGCAACGTGGACTAGAAACCTCCTGAGGTCTCTTCGAGCCCGAGTTGTCCTATGATTTTGGGAGAATTGAAAACATACTGGCTAGTAGTGTTGCCTTTGTATTTTTGTGTGTGTATATGCTTCCATTTCAAAATGGTTTCTTTCTTCAGTGACATGTGACTTAGTTCATTAATGTTATGGCAGAATGACCGCAACGCTGCAGGATGCTGAGTGACAGTTGGACCCAGGTCCTTTAACAGTGAGAAGCTGGCAGTAGAGTAGCATATTTGAAACCAAGAATGTCATTAGGGATTCCAGATGCTGAACTGAAGTGCCACTATCATGTGATCTTTGGAACAGGCTCAAGAGACATGAATGAGGGTTGTGTCAATTGCAAGAATTCAAGTGGTAGCTGATGTGATCCAGAACCTCCTTCAGTTTGTCTCTTTCCTTCGCTTGGCTTTCTCCCCGGCTGTCTCTACATTCTGTTTTGAGACTTGGTTTCTTTCTGGAACTGGGTCCCAATTGCTTTTACAGATCTGTTTTCACAGCAGGATTATTGCTAGCAACTTGATTTTTCCAGATCTTTTGAACTGGAGAAATTAAAGTAAAAGGGATTAATATACTGCAATTTTTATGTTGGCATTGCTTTAGGGGATTTCATCAAGACACTTTCAGCTGATTAAGTGAATATGCAGGGGAGACTGAACACTACCACAGAATAATTGAACACGACTTGGTTTTATTTTAAGATTGTAGCTGCTAGACTCCATGCTGGTCACAGAATTTACTACCAGTTTTGCAGTAGTGGGAAACTGGTCTTTTTATCTGAGACTTTGACTAACATTGGCTGAATAAGAATAAAGTCCTTCCTCTGCACAGCATGTTAGTTCCTTTCTCTAAGCGTATTTCAGCCCATGCTTTTTCAAAAGGAAGCAAACAACTCTTCACTTCAAATTGTTTTACCCAAAGAGAAGTGGTGAGAATACACTGCTGGAAAGCACTTGAATACTAGCACAGGTTATTCACCTTGTGGCATCTCTAATCTGTTGAAGAGTAGAATAAGATCATCTTAGGTCACAAGCATTGGAAAATGTTTATGGTATGAAACTCTAATCTTCTGAGATGGGATTTTGAAAAGCAGCAATGTTAGAACAATTAAGACTGGGTCACATTCTACCCACAAAGAGATACCGATTTGTCTATGATCTCCATGTCAATTATTTGGCAGAGCCTTTTAAAAGATTTTACTGCCCTGTCAATATCTGTCTATAGTTTTGAAGTAGTGAGTAGTGCCAGTCAGATTCAGGTGATCAAACCCTGTCCTGCACCTGGGATGTGATCTCTAAGAATTTCTAATTTGCTTGACAACTCAACGAGTAAATTTGAAGCAGATGGAAAGTGTAACCTGTAAAGCTTTATCAGAGTGCTTGGACTGATATTGCTAACTAAGGTATTACAACTTCAGGGCTTTTACACAGTTTGCAACAACTCTGCACTAAGTTGGTGGTTATTTGTAGTTTGGCTCTAGTACTCCACCTTCCTGCTCAGTTGTATGTGGTTGTAACTATTGGAGCAGTTTCAGGATAAGAGGGAAGAAGAAAACCTCTTAAATGAGTAGATAAAGAAATGAGTAGATAAAGAGTTGTAATACATAAGCCTTTAACTCTTTGAGGGAAGCAGTGCCTTAAAACTTCACAAGCAAACGGTCTAATCATCATAGGGTATCTTCGTATGCAAATGAATTATTAGCTATAGGCATTTATATTTATCTTTTTAGCAGTAGAGTCTCATGGCAAGAAGAAAGGGGGTAGGCTTTAGGAGCAGGAATCATCTTTAGCTCCTCTGGAGGCTTGACATGCCCAGGTAGACTTTAAAATAGAAGGTGAGGTTGAAATTTGTGTATCTCTATAATTACTGCTTTTTTTACTTCAGAACAGCAAATGATACAGCATAATCAGCTACTTGTTAGCAGAGCCTGTTTAACCTACTGTTACTTTTTTCATTAGGTATTTGAAAAGATTTAAAGTGATGAAAATCAAAGTACTGCGAAGCTGGTGCCGTCAGATACTGAAAGGCTTACAATTTCTACACACGCGCACTCCTCCCATCATTCATAGAGACTTAAAATGCGACAACATCTTCATTACTGGCCCCACTGGATCAGTCAAGATTGGAGATCTTGGTCTGGCAACCCTGAAACGAGCTTCTTTTGCCAAAAGTGTGATAGGTAAGCCTCTCGTGTTTTGGAGGCGGCTGAGCCTCCGAATTTGGAAACTTGAGTATTCTGAGAGCTTTCCTTAAAAATATGTGGTTTCAAAGGTACATGGTCAAAGCCTGGAAATGTGTAGGCTTTTTTCTTGATTGCTGAGGTCGTTCCGTGTTCCTGATGAGGTTACATGTGAAAACCTTGGTTGTGCTTTTGATACTTGTATATTAACACTGAGTATTTTGGAATATAGATTCATTGCCCTGCCCAACAGTTCAGTGCAACATTGTTGATAAAACCACTCTTGACTACATGTAAATCTCAGCTCTAACATGAGGATCATTCTTCAAGAAATGGACAAATGGATTTTGATGACCAAACAATGTTTTGATGGAGTGTAGCATTAATTTATACAGCCAATTTTTTTTTTGCCACCAGGGGCTAATATTACATCTTTTACTTTTTGAGTAATCAGAAACGAAGATATATCAAAGAAAGCTAATATAGATATATGTATTATATCACAGTCAAGAGTGTGATATAATGCCTTAGGGAGTCTGTAGAATGTGGATTTATCAGAGTCAGGAGGATTCATTGGGGAAATACTGGCTTATACTGTCTCTGTTCTTGTATATCCACTACTAACCTCTTCCAGAAATTGATTTGATGGAACTAGTATAGTTTTTTTTCTTGTGAATTCTTGAAAGAATTGGTTTTATCAGCTTTGTTTTTATAGTTGGGTGAATAGACTGCAGGGAATGAAGTCGCTCTCACTCTTGGTATTTAGCACTTGCTAAAACACAGTATTACTCAACAGTCCTATGCTAGATTCCTAGATGGGATCAGTGGTGTATACCTGTAAATTGTCTTGCAGTCTGTTGCTGAAATATTTCCTGCTGCTTAACCAGGTGAAAGTCTTACTAGGAAAGAAAAGTATCTAGTATTAAAAAGAAAAAATTTCTTCAGCATACTGATCTTATCCTCAAACTTATAATTGGAGTGTTACTGCTTCATATCTAGCTATCTGCTAACAGTCAGCCTTTGGACAAGTGACTCCAAGTACACTCTCCTCTTTTGGCTTAGTGTGGTGAAAACAAGTGATGTGGCTACAGAAGGATTTGTAAATGGTCTTGAATCTGGTGTCTGCAGGAAATAATTCTGTGCTTCAATTTACAAAAAGCAAATCTGCATCTCTGGCTTAAAGTAAATCTGATCATACAGCGCATTCCCTCTGCTTACAGAGGGGACGCTGTGATGCTTCACTGGGCAATAATTTTCTGCACACTATTTAAATGGGACTTGTTGAATCTCACGCTCTATGCCTGTAACTCAATCTCTCTGTATTTCTGAGTATTTTTGACTGTAGGATGTCCCTCACTAATGCCTGTATCTGCAGTAGGCCTATAAATATACTGCAGGTGGGAAGGTAAGTATATGAAGAAAAGGGCTCTGGTGAGTGGCCTTTGCAGAAAATTACTTTATCCTTTTTTAATGAAGATTTATATTACATTTATATAAAGAGTCTTTCATTGCAAGGCCTTTCCCGAACCATTCTACTTCAGAAGTAGATGGAGAGCACCAGGTCAGAGACTAGCTGTGGGCTCTTACCAATACTACTTCTTTTGCAGCAGAGGGCAGCCAGGTAACTTTTGAAACAAGGTTTAATGTGCCTCCTTTCTTGCAGGGAGAAAAGGTAAGTGTCTTAACCCTCCTTAGTATTTGGTTTGTAGCCTGTGGCTAGTCTACAGTTTTTCCCACTTCTTATCCCCTCCCCTTCATTTGACTCCAGCCTGATCCAGTCAGTTTTGATACTGACATTAACTAACACGCATAAACCAGGAACTGTATCAATCCTTTCATGACAATCCTATTCCGTAAAGGCCTTGCAACGGAAGACTCACAAAGTATGTTGATGCAACAGAGTGACTGAGGGTTTCCTCCCTCTTCTTTTTGCCTCCACTTTCTCTTGTCTCACAGGTCTCCCCATCTGCTCCCTCCTGCGGTGAGTAACGCCAGCAGCCTCTGCTCGCTTTGAGACATTTAGAGTCTGAATCGTTCTTTTAATTTAAGGTACCCCAGAGTTCATGGCCCCCGAGATGTATGAGGAGAAATATGATGAATCCGTTGATGTATATGCTTTTGGGATGTGTATGCTAGAGATGGCCACGTCTGAGTATCCTTATTCCGAGTGCCAAAATGCTGCGCAGATCTACCGTCGAGTGACCAGTGTAAGTCCCTCCCCACTGCTGATTCTAAAGCTACTACTACTAGCAGCTAAGGAGTACAGCTGGGTAGTGTGCTGCTGTGCAAATGTGTGTGGGGAAGAGAGGCTGAAAAAAGGCTTTTGGGGGATGGGTGGACAAGTACAGAATAGTTCAACTTACCAGTCAGTCAGAAGCCTGCAAAATATGTGACTGAAAATAAATTTTGCTAGTTAAAAACCCCCAAACTCAAACCCAAAATCAAAACAAAAAATCACATCAAAATAATAGATTTTTTTGTAAGCCACTGGGGGTGGGATGGGGGGTGGGAAGTGGTGGAAATACTTCAGTCTTGAAGATTAAGTGGTAACTTTGTTCTGTGAAATAAAGCTGGATCACAAATTCTGCCTGCCAAGGCAAATAATAAATTGTTACCTGGAGTGATTTTAAGTTAATAGCTTACTGAATTCCAAAAGGCTCTTAGCTACTGTGTGTCGAGCACACTTGTAGTTAGGCAGTGGAAGTACTTGAGGAACAGCAGGGCCGTATTCTACCCTGCAAAGTGCTGGCTGGTGTAGTGGTGGAGGTGGAGGCATGGCCACTGAGACCAAACAGGGCTGAGAAGTCAAGCAGGAGACTGGTTTGCTCATCTGAGCAGACTAAGTGGAACCTACACACCCTGAATGTAGGAATCGGAACTGTGGTGCTAGAAATGTTCAGAATGGTTGTGATCCCTAAAACAGTGTCATGAAGCCTATCCCTGTATATAGGTGTATATATACACATATCTGTTTTACTGCACACATGATAAACTGCACCATGTTCTGCCTTCCTGATGTAAGCATTTGGAAAGAACAGTGAGCTTGCCACTTGAGGAAGGAAGAATTTGCGTTAGATTTCTCAAACACCTGTGTGGATGTGCAAAGGGAGGGAAAAACTTACCTCTTTCTCCAATCCGTTGACAAATGACTTCCTCTTAATCTGTGTGTATTATCGTGGACAGGCTGAGGATTTAATAAACTCTTTGGTTAGCTTGGAAAAATAAAATGCGCTTATTGCTAATGCGTCACACATTAAAAGGCGACATAACAACTGACTTAAAGATGTGGAAGGAAGGGTCTTCATGCCAGAAGTAATGAATTCTGTATCTCTTTTTTGAAGGGGAATATTGCAGAGGCGTAGAAGGAGGGAGAAAGAAGGGATAAATGGGCACTTTTGCTTTTGAAGAGATGTTAGTGAGTTTATATATAAATTATATACATGCAGCATCTTTTTTTGCATGTTGGTGGTGTCTGTAATTTTCTAAATAAAGAAGAAAAACAAGGGTTAAGTCTAACCTTTAGTCTGCTTATAGCATAATCTGATCTGCGAGCTATTTGGATCCGTGAAGGAAAACTAAGTGTCTTACCTGAACTTTCTTAGTGGTACCTTTTGCTATGCTCATCTGTGTGTGTTGGCCAGAGCCCAAGAAACATAATTGGCATTGGTGGTGTCTGTAATTTTCTAAATAAAGAAGAAAAACAAGGGTTAAGTCTAACCTTTAGTCTGCTTATAGCATAATCTGATCTGCGAGCTATTTGGATCCGTGAAGGAAAACTGTCTTACCTGAACTTTCTTAGTAGTACCTTTTGCTATGCTCATCTGTGTGCGTTGGCCAGAGCCCAAGAAACATAATTGGCATGGACACTTTTTCTGCCCTGCTTATTCCTTAAAAGTTACTAGGAACTGAGCTGTGGTGGGAATAATCAGCTTTGGAGACAATCTCAGGCTTGGAAGTCCCCAGGTGTTAGAGCTGTCTCTTTCCTGATCTGTGGAGTACTTAGCAATTGGAAAGCCTTGTAGGGGCTTGTAGCAGGCAAACTTATCTACAGACTTACCAGGGTTCGACTTACCTCTTCTATTATTCTTGATGCTTCTTTCTCCCCACTGTTTTTGGTTGAATGTTGAACTTCTGAGTGGATGAAAAACGTGGGTAACTTGTTCAGTCTGTCCAACCCCACCTTCTACTGTATTCTGCTGCTGCTGGCTTTTCACAGATGGATTTTCCGCCCCCCCTGCTGTTTCATCTGCTGCTCGAGAACTCTAAAATGTACTTTGATGTGAAATAAAATAAATTTTGTTTTCTTCCAGAAGAAGCAAAGGACAGGAAGGTAAATGAAATGTATATTTCTGTGTCTAGGCAGAGACTGAAAGGCTGTATTTTGGTATACTTGGGTTTGTTTATTTTATTGTAGTCATAGAGGTTTATTTAAAAAAAAACCTCAAGAAATCAAAACCCAACCACAAACAAAACATGAACAGCTTCCAAGGAAGACTTTCAATGAAGAAAAGGCAATATTATCTGGAAATAGAGCACAAACCTGTCTTTACTGGTAATAGGGAATTCACTGTTTCTTCTGCAATAAGTAAAACAGGACCATGTTATAAAATGTTCTCCTAGTTTGTGAAAGCTCTGTGAAGCAATGTGAAAGAGCCGTATGGTTTTCTGCCTTTGTCCTTTGCACCCTGTTAAAGAAAATAAGATTTTCCTTTCATTTCAAAGGAGGCTTCAGAAATTTAGACAGTGTCTGCAGTTGTGGGTCGGAGGGGAGTTGGAGCAATTGAGTCCTTAAAAGGACAGTGAGTGACTCATCAATAACAGTGGAGTTGGAAGACTTCCTGTGCAGGTGAATCCAATGGTACTTACCAACACATCTCCTTCTTACGTGTTGGCAGGTGAATATGGTTTTTGGAAGATGTGTACTACTAGTTTCAACCCCATAGTTTGCTGCTTTCCTAGGCATGTGTAGGATTATTTTGAGGTATCAGCTGTAGCCCTGCTGTGCCTTCAATAAAAGGATTATTTTATCTGGATGCATATGCAAGAGACCAGAGGAAGAGACAATTATAACGATCTGCTATTGCCAGTTGTGAAAGCTTATGGAATGTGGGAGCCTAAAAACCACTGAAACGCTCAAGACTCTAAAATCAAAATGTGCAGCCCCTCAGTGCAAGCAATACAAACTTTAATTGATTTCCTTCATCCCCTTTGCAGTAACTATTAAGCTTAGTAAAAAGCAGAGCTTCAGTCCTTGCTATTGTTTAGGACAAAAGCCTGTAACACGGCTTAATGCCCAGGGCGTCTCTGGAGCGGACCTGGTACTGCCAGCTCACATTTTCTCCCATTTTGGCTGTGTTGGTCTATTTTCTAGGCCGGCCTTCAGCCGCATTACGTTTTGCCCTTACACCCTTTGTGATAAGGATTGCTCTAGCTGATGCCCAGATCCTGCGGTGTTGGGTTGGAGTGTTTGCCAGGATTGCTCAGAGCACTCAGTTACGTGTTCTACCTCTTCTGTTCAGGGTCCTCCCTTGTGGTTGGAAGCAGTTTTCTGATCAAGTAAGTAATAGTCAGGTGAGCGACGATCTAGGTATGAGGTCTAAATGCTGAAGTCTGCTGTTAGACAATACAGATGAGCATCCTGCCATGTTCTGTCTCACTGGAAAGCTCCTGGTTTTCTTTAAAGCAGTGATGAGGTAAAGTTCCTTTATTTTCCCTGGCCCAATAAACAGAACTGCAATTAAATGGGTTTTCTGGCTCACTTGAAGAAAGTTTTTTATTTTTTTTTCAGTAGAAGGATTTGGGTAAATGCCTGGCTTAAAAAAAAGACTGCCTGTAATATGTAGGGCTCAAGGTGTTACGCTGCTGGAATTGGCTCTACAGTGCCAGTAAGGAATTCAGCA